TCTAGCCCAGTAGCCTGTCTGCCGACAGTGGCCAGCACCAGGCGCCCCAGAGTGAGTGGACTGAAGACAATGATCAAGCGATTTGTCTCCTGCCATCCCTCTCCAGCCTCTGACAAACAGAGGCCAAGGACACCATTTTATCCCCTGGCTAATAGCCTTTTATGGACCTAACCTCCATGAAATTATCTAGCTTCTCTTTAAACTCTATTATAGTCCTAGCCTTCACAGCCTCCTCTGGCAAGGAGTTCCACAGGTTGACTACACGCTGTGTGAAGAAGAACTTTCTTTTATTAGTTTTAAACCTGCTACCCATTAATTTCATTTGGTGTCCTCTAGTTCTTCTATTATGGGAACTAATAAATAACTTTTCTTTATCCGCCCTCTCCACACCACTTATGATTTTATATACCTCTATCATATCCCCCCTCAGTCTCCTCTTTTCTAAACTGAAAAGTCGCAGTCACTTTAACCTCTCTTCATATGGGACCCGTTCCAAACCCCTAATCATTTTAGTTGCCCTTTTCTGAACCCTTTCCAAGGCCAAAATATCTTTTTTGAGGTGAGGAGACCACATCTGTACACAGTATTCAAGATGTGGGCGTACCATAGTTTTATACAGGGGCAGTAAGATATTCTGGGTCTTATTTTCTATCCCTTTTTTAGTAATTCCTAGCATCCTATTTGCCTTTTTGACCGCCGCTGCACACTGCGTGGAAGTTTTCAGAGAACTGTCCACGATAACTCCAAGATCTCTTTCCTGATTTGTCGTAGCCAAATTAGCCCCCATCATACTGTACGAATAGTTGGGGTTATTTTTCCCGATGTGCATTACTTTACACTTATCCACATTAAATTTCATTTGCCATATATTTAAAAAAATACCAAATATTTGAAAAAATAGTGTGGGGTCAATCTGAAAATACAACTTGAAAATACTTTGGGGAAACTGGAAGGTGGGGTGGGGGCTGAAATTATATCATGTCATTATGAAAAGGTTCAGGGAACCAGAAAGTCAGAAATAAATTTGGTTTCTGTCAAGCATTTTAAACAGTTTTTAATTCAAAAGGTGAAGGGAAAACGTCAAACCATAGCACGGCATTGGATCAATAAAGTGAAACATTTCCTTTTTGGAAATCCCTAAAGGAAACGTTGGGGTTCCTGGTTTGTGGAATTTGGGGATTGTTTGTCGCCAAATGAACAACTGAGTGAAGTCAAGCGGGACTCACACAAAGTTTTGGTGTTGCTGATTTTGCACCACAAAAACACTTCTGTGACACTTTGGCCCCGAGGTGGCTGGGAAGGGGCCTTAGAGCCGCTGGACTGGATGGCGTCTGGCAGGGGTCGGTGAGTAGGATCAGCTGGTCTGGTCTGTTCTAGAGGGTCTGGCCCTGCGCTCGCCATGGGGGTAGCTGGGCCCTTGCAGGCATCACAGAGCAAAGTCACAAGCATCAGGGCAACAAACAGATCATCTGCTAATCATAAAATAGGGCAGGCAGCGCCCATGTGCATCGTGGGCCATGGCTCTGATGGGGGGAGAGGGAGAGGCAAGATACTAGGCTAGATGGGCCCATAAATGTTTTGATCTCGAGGGGCCAGGAGTAGGCGGGATACCAGGCTAGATGGGCCCATTGTCCTCACCCCGGGCAGCAGTCCCCCAGCTGAGGTCTTGTTCCTCAGAGCGGT